TTATGTTTACGCGGCGCGATATGCAACGCAATGCATAAAAAGACAGTATAAGTCATTATAATCAGTAATTATGTCCTCACTGGATGCAACAAATGCCTCGTTTATAATGGGTTTTATTGGTTTTGTCTCGTCGTGCCGGGACACGGCATCACAGTATGGTAAGGGGCGTAACATTTCCGTCACACGCTTGATTGGTATTCAGCCAATCACAACGCACTGGATAGCTGGCAAATCAGAGCACACCTCACTTTTCAGAACGATGAGCTTTGTAAAAATCTACGCGTTTCAGAAAGGCAGGGCATAGAGGAGCAACAATAATGTACATTATGTGGAACCTTAAACCGCATAAACACATTGCATTACACCAAATACACAGCATAATGTTCTCTTTAGCAACATCATATGACCCCTTTAACTTGCTTATATTAGCTTGAGTTAATTAGAATAAATGCATGTGTGTTTTGAATGAGAACATGGTTAAATCTGTGCTTTATGAGGATAGATTTGTATAGCCATTTGCAGAAAACATTCAAACAAAAGTAACAAGTAATGTTTGGACTGGCAGAATCAGTTGTTTAATCAATCAATAACATTTTACATAGCATTCTTGTTATGTGGAAAGAGCATCCTTCTAATGTGGAAAGACAATTCTTGTTAAAGGAGTATAATATATTGCCTGGCAAGAGATTTTGTGGGATAGATAGATAGATAGATAGATAGATAGATAGATAGATAGATAGATAGATAGATAGATAGATAGATAGATAGATAGATAGATAGATAGATAGATAGATAGATAGATAAATCAATCACTGCCTGGATTTAAACAAGCAAAATAATTATTGCAGTGGCATATTCTGGCATGTTGCATGTTTGGCAGCAATTCTTTTAACCTTAAATGATGCAGTCAGTGTGTAGATTTTAATTTGTCAAAAAACCATACTGGAAGACGTGTCCATGTACATATTCCAGGATGACAAAGCCAAAATTCATCAGGCTCAATTTGTGAAAGATTGGTCACCACAGAGTCCAGACCTTAACCCACTGAAAGTCTTTGTGATGTGCTGGAGTCGACTTTACACTGCCTGTCCAAAAAAAAAGCTGGATTCTATAATATTTTGTTGGAACCCCTTTACCCTTGATTATATTTTGAATTAGTTTTTCAGCAACATAATGCAACATCATAGAATTTATTTTCATCAAGAGTTGCATTAATCTTTTTGGCAGAGATCTTGTATCGACAATGGGAGAGCCTGGTGAATCTTGATATTGTCATTCTGGAATATGTACATGGGTACTTCTTCCACCAAAAATCTACATACTGCATCAGAATTGTTGCAAAACTTAGAACATGCCAGAAACGTGGTAATCATTGCAATTATGATCCAATCCTAAACTCTTCAGTATTTGCTTATTTAAATCTAAATGGCAACTTTTTGGCCAGGCAGTGTGAATATATATAATTTATAGGTCCATTTAAATTAAAGACTGATAATGTGAAAATAGTCTGCTGAACTTCTGTTTCAATATATCGATAAACAATTTAAAAATTTTTGCTTAAGCTTCCCTGAGGTAGCAACAGGCAAGCTGGTTTATTTACATAGTTTAAATGCATAGACTTATTTGGCCTTTGAGGGCCTTTGTTAAGACTTGTTTTTTTCCGACACTCCTAGTCAATGTCATCTTCTAAATAAAACAAGGCGAACACAGAAATTGCATGGTAAGTGACATACAAACCACGAAAAGGTGCAGTTCCAGACTTGTTTCACAGTGGCAATATAAATGTAGTACAGTTGGAAGACATTTTCCTTTATACGTCACCACATAAAATCTAGTCATTACAAATATTTTTTTAATTTGATATTTATTTTTTGTTTTTTTGTTTTTTATTTGTTTACTAAAGACATAATGACCAATATGACCTAAATAGTTACTTTGTCACAGTTTCTTCACAAAGACAAGAAGCATGTTTATTCAGGCACAGTTGAAGCACTAGTTGCCCTAGCACATCTAATGCTTTTAAAGTAGATTAACTCATTTGTTATGTTGAAATGATTCAGAAGAAACCATTCTCCAAAAATAATTTGAATTCAGCTCTTCATTTTATTTCTGTTCTTCATTATGTACAACAATTTGCTATTTAATTTTGCTATGGCAGAATATAAGAGTTAAAGGTGCTGTATGTAGGATTGACACCGAGTAGTTGAACTAGGTATTGCAGTTCAAATTCAAAATATAGGAGTTGGTTTTTTTCACCCAGTCCCTCCTCCTCAGACTTGACAAACACGCAGGTTGCCAGATTGACGACACAACAGGAACGAGCGCAATTAACGATGAATGAAATGAAACGCTGTGTTTTCCGCCAACTGGCAACCCGGGGTCCCAGTGGGCGGGTTTCACAAACCAAAACAGAGACCGACATTCCGGCCCGGAACGCACATTTTCAAAGGAGAATAACTGACTGTAGCATTGTTTTTCAGATAAACAAATATGTTAACTTAGCATGTTTCTTAAATATCTGCAAACATATTATCGTATTTTTATGCTTTAGTAGAGTCAAAAACTTTCATACAGCACCTTTAAAAACAGTTCATCAGTAAATCGCTGAACTATTAAAGAATAAGCACTCAAATTAGGAATAGTTTATTGAAAGAAAAAAATGGCATCCGTGGAAGAGTGGCAAGGCAAAAACCACTGCTAACCCAGAAGAACATGAAGGCTCATCAATTTTGCCAAAACACAACTTGATGATCCTCAAACAATTTGTCAGAATGTTTAATGGACTGATGAGTCGAAAGTGGAACTGTTTAGAAGACAGAAAAAAGCTAAATTAAAGTTTTGAAGTGGGCCAGTTAAAGTCCTGACTTAAACCCAATTAAGTTGCTGTGGCAGGAAAATCCAACCCAACCTGACCAGTGGCTTTACCATCTAACGACGATAGAGAGTGGTTTGTCAGCAACTCTCCCAAGCAATGACTGGTAAACTTGATCCTTTGCAGTTTGCTTTCAGAGTTGGGCATGGAGTTGAAGATGCCACTCTCACTCTGATGGATAAGTTTGGAAAATACTTGGATGCGGCAGATATTCTGCATAAGGATTTTATTTATGGATTTTTCTTCTGTTCTTACTTTTAAAATTGTATCCTGGTTTAACTCTCTTTCTGTTAAAAGCAAAAAAATCTGATTTTAAGGATTATAAATGTGGCGAGTAAAATAATTGGTGAGAGACAAGTACCTCTCACTGATCTCTATACTGTGGCATCAAAAAGGAAAGCCTCTGTTATTGTGGGAGACTCTTCTCATGCCCTGCATATTTCCATCTGGCAGATGGTATAAAGTGCCTTTGGTGTAAAAGGCCAAGTATAAGAAGACCTTTATCCCAACTGCCAATGGTATTTTAAATAGGATCTTAAGATGAATTTTGATGTATTATTACAGTTGTGTTTTTAAAGTGATGTATAATGTTAATTGTTGCTGTGATTATTATTTGTACTGTTTGTTTGTTGAGCCTTTGTCTAAAGGTTTTCTACCCCACTAGACAATAAAGCTTTTGAACTGAATTGAAAACAGGCAGTTCATGCTCAAAAAACCCTTCAGTGTGGCTGAAATAAAGTAGTTTTGCAAAGAAGAGTGGAACAAAATTCCACCTAGCGCTGTGAAACATTTATCTTCAGTTATCAGAAGCGTTTGGTTGCAGTTATTGCTGCTAAGGTGGCACCTGATTTGAAGTTTAAGGGGTAATTAGTTTTTCTGGGTGATCATCTGGATTTTTGCTGTAATAATAATAATAATAAATGTATGTGTTTACTCGGGTTGCCTTTATTTAAAGTTGCATTTCGTTTGAAGATCCAAAACTATAATGAAATATACACAACAACAGAAGCAATCAAATATATTTTCAGCACTGCTTCTGCAAATATATTATTTGCAGACTTGGATTGGATATTAATTGTGTAATTTACCAAAGATTCATAAACTGAAAGTATTCGATAAGCATGCAATTTTCAGGCTTGTGTTCAAAAATGGCGTGTGTGAATATAAAATCAGCTCTTTCTGGTCAAAATATCTTTAGTGCCACCAATGTGGATTGTGGTTTTTCTGCATTAGGTAACACCTAATGACCCTATTACAGATTATTTCAGATTATAAAACCTGAACATCTATGGCATGGGTCTCCTTTGTTCTTGAGAGAAATGTCCACCTTTGAATAAGTAAATGTGAAAAATTTATTTTCATTAATCAATGTTTTTTAATGCCACCAAGCTATCACATCTAGAAGTAAAAGAGAGTCTTGAAAGTTCTAGCCTGACAGAGTAGGACTTGTCACAGATTCAGATTCCAAAAAATGAAAGTAATTTCATGATGACATTTAAAGACGCCGAAATGTTACAAAAATGTTTGGCTTGGTACTTTTATTGCCTGAAACTTAGTCATAGTGACAGTGGCTGAAGGGTGCAGTGCTCTTAAAGGTCAGCAATTTTAGAAAAATGTAACGAATAAGAGGTGATTTTAAAACTTTCTCTGTACTCAAGTGGGAGGAAAGAGCGGATAAATACTTAAAAGTCTTACAGACAAGTTGTTGACAGTCAAATACTTGTTAAGAACTAAGGTAATAAATGACACTGACAGGTCAAGTGTAACTGACACATGGTCATTCCATGTCAAATCAACCAAATTTCAAAAAATGTCCCTAAGAACAACACAAGATTTTGTTTTCTGAAGAAAAACAAATATAAATAGAGATGAAACCGCAACATATTAAATGGCAAGCATGCATATTTACTGAGTACGCTGAGTACACATAGGGCTCAATTCCATAAATATGAGGATCTCAACAATGCGGCTCAAATTGTTTTATTTTACCCATTTCGACCCACTCAGTCAAAAACCAAATAAGTGTCACCTTGCATACAGCTGATACTTATGGAATATCTGAAGAACAAATAATATTGAAAGTAAAAATTAATCTTGTCATCTTGTGCAAAAAAAAATGCACAGAACATTCCTATCTGAGTGCCAAGAACACACTGAAATGGTCAAACTGAATCACATTAACTTGCTCACAGTAGTGCAATTATAAGATTCGATATTTGAATCTGTTTCAGGGATATTTGGAAGAAGGGATTTTGTTCAGTTTAACTGCTTTTAACCATCAATACTGTGTATTTATAATCTGACGTGCCACGCTGTACATTCCTAAACCCAGGGTTAACATTCTTATTTTCATATTTGGTGTGTCAACACCAGTCATGATTGGATAAACACAAAATCACATTTGGTTTTTAACCATTGAAAATGGGTCAAATTAAACAATTTGGACATGGAGCCTTGAGATCTTCATATCTCTGGGGTTGAAATATAGGGCTTTAAAAATTAAGATTCCAAAATAAAAGTTTGTTAGGAACTAGAATATAAAAGGATATTAAGATATGTGAGTTACAGGAACAGAAACTGTGGAATAAGAACATTTTTAGCACTCACACAGGTATGTTGTATGCAATTATTTCAATAGAAAGAAAAAGAAGATACATTTCTTGTTCAAACTAATTCTTCTTTAAACACGATGCATAGTTTGGCACTTAGACAGGTATGTTCCATGCAGTTGTTTTGATAGAAGGAAATAAGATAAATAAACATTCCTGTTCTTCAGGTATTCCTCTATAAAAGAAAAAATGTCAGCTGTATACAAAGTGACATATGGTTTTTAACCACTGAAAATGTGGACAATTTAACAGTTTATTCATCGAGCCATGTAATCCCCTTATCTCTGGCCATGAACCATACAGTGCTTAAAAAATTAAGATACCAAAAAAAAGCTTTTAATAGAATGTATGAAGTAATTTGTTAGTTATAGACATGCAGGCACCGTTGACCCTTTCACATTACTTTTCATGTTTCTCAGAAGCGGAAGTTTTCACAGTTGGGTCTATAGAGACCAAAATAAATCATGTTATTTTTAAAACTTTTATTAAAAGTTTTTTTTTTCTAACAAATACATTACCCAGCTGTAATAAATAACTTTTTGTTTAAACTTTTGATCCAAATCTGACCAATCAATAATGGGAGGCATGGACTTTTTCATACTGTTTTTGTGTATACTGTATATACGTGAGGTGTGTGTGTAGGCTACTTACTATTTTGTGGAAATGTGTACTAGCTGTATATAAATACAATAGAATAGAAGTCTATGAAATGTTCTTATTTAGATTTAGCTAAGTGTTTAGCTATTTAGCTAAGTGTGTGTGTGTTCTGTGGTAGACGAACAAGGATAGTTGATGCGTATTGTTGATGCTGATAATTATGTGTCCATGATTGACAGAGATAATAATGAAGAATGAATGTTTATTTGACGATTTGGAGGAGGTGATGGTAACGAAAATGATGTTGTAAAAGTTCTCACTCAGTGTTTGTTGATTCAGCAGATGTGATCATTTTAAATTAGTTTCATATTGGGTCTGATTATGTTAAAACAAATCACACTTTGATCTGATCTTCCAGTCCCTTTCATGCCATGTGACTTTGAACACTTGCTTCTGATAACATCTGGGAAAGCAACAGCTCGATATTTCCTTACCAGCCATGTTTATCAGCTACCTCTTACGTTCCAACATTCATGTGTCCGTCATGCAAGTGAGCATGATGTTCAAGCACAGGGGCAGGGTCGTGCACAGGGGGGGGGCTCAGTGGCTAGAGCCACTGCCCCTTTGCCCTCATCGGCTGAGTTGCCCCTCTCACCAATCCCCCGATCACCCTAGCTCAATGCGGTCTGTTCCCGCTCCGCTAAAGATCCGCTGATATCTTTGTGACATATCTGTTGTCCTTGGCCAAATGCATTGGTATTGCTTTTCTTTAAAAAAAAGCTTTTTGATTGAATTCTACTGTAATAAAACGCATAACCTTTAAAATTCTGTTAAAAACTAAAGATGAATTTGTGATGTGATTAGCAGACCTGTGATACGTAGACTCTAGAATAGTGGCTCTATTTTAATTTGAGTGCGGGAACAATTCAGTTGTGATCCTCCATGGATGGTTGTGAGATAGGTTGTTCACATTCTGAGGAACATTCACATATGCATTCATTCATTTTGGTTTATTTTCATCATTTACACAAGCAAACCGATTTAACCACATCTTCTCTGTGTCATTATTTTGTGTGTTTTTCTTCACCAACACACCGCACTCCATCGAGTAACATTGGTGTCCCGTGGTGGCGATCTGTTAAAAAAAAAAAAAAAGAGGTTTAATCATGACAACTCTCTGAAGATTTTAGCATGGTAATGGTAATGACAATGTTAATGTATTTGGTCTTGGTGGAATAGATCTGCTACGCTGCTGCTGCTGAATTGCTGATGCTGATGGTTATTGCTGTAGTTCAGTGATCCTCAAATCTAGCTCGCAAGATCCACTTTCCTGCAGAGTTTAGCTCTAACCCTAATCAAACACACCTGAGTTTGCTAATCAATGTCGTCTGGATCATTAGAAAATCACAGGTATAGTTGTTTGATTAGGGTTGGAGCTAAACCCTGCAGGAAAGTGGATCTCGCAAGCCAGATTTGAGAATCACTGCTGTAGTTGTAGATTATTGCTGCTGCTGCAAGCAAGTATAGGAACTTGCTACTGCCAATGCATACGGCGATACGGTGCCATGAGTATTTAAGACATACTGCTGCTGCACAAATAGCATATAATCTAACCCGTAGCAGATCTATACAGGTGGAGCTGGGGAAGGTGGAGGGTTTACGTTAACAACCATCAGCCTGCGCCATCTAGAGTTTCATGACTAAAATGTATATATTTATTTTAGTGGAGGGGATTTTCTATTTATTTCAATTTGTTCTCACTTAATGTTACTTAACAGTTCTAACAATCAAATTGAGCACATGTTTTTATATCCTTACTACAAAATAAAGGGGAGTACTTTTTCAACTTCATAAACCATGCTTTTTTGTCAACTTGTCAATATGACGGTTGATTTAAAATGTACAATATTAGTAGTTTTTTTTGCTTCAGAAGACATTAATTCATCAACTGGGGTCGCATGGATAACAACCTGTGTTCGTTTTGCATAATTTTTAAAGCACAACTTTGAGGGATCTATGCACTTGCATTATATGGACTCACAGAAATGGATTATTCTTCTAAAATTCTTAGTTTGTGTTCATCTGAAAAAAAACACAACTGGAACAGCATGATGGTGAATAAATGAAAAGAGAATTTTAGTTTTTTGGATTTCATTTTAAAATGTACTTTCTCCCATCCGAGCTTAATATTTCTGTAAAACTGCTTTGAAACTATTTAAATGAACTAAATACGCAGAGGCAATTATACTGGTCCAGAAGCGACACACTTCACCTCATAAACGCTCTGTTATGAATGACTAGAGATTGGTCACCAGTTGGTGTGTGTCTCTCTCACCCATGACTCTGGCCTGTAATCGAACTCGGACGCTGCTGTCCCTTCTGCTCCTGTTGACCAGGGTGAGTTCCTCTTGCACCACTCCCTCCTGCTGAGCGATGTACTCACAAACCACCCTCACTCCCCCTTAAAAGAGCACAGGAAGATGAATGGGAATGTGTGGAATCAATACAGCTACAGAGGAGTACAAAGATAACACAAAATGGCAAAGACAATAAAAAAGATGGGTAAAAGAAGGCGCCTGAGTGACCAGGATAAGATTGGAAGACTGAAATCATCATAGAGAAACAATCACCTAACTGCAAAGTGCTTGCAGCTTCTTTTAGAATATAAATTGTATGCTCAGATATGGCAAACCTGCTAAGATTTCCCTAGAGATTCAACTGTGGGAAAAATGACACTACTATAAACGCGCTAAGTGAGTTTCAGCTAATGGAGAGATCGATGACGGACTGAAATAGGAGTGTGACTATTGATCATAACATGATGTCTTGCATTTGGCTTGATGTTTTATTACCAGTCAGGTGTACAATGATCTTAGATCTACATTAATGGTTCTGATAGCGCTTACGTTTTTACAACCTATTGTTTGTAACTGCTTAGTTTAAGCTATATGTATCTCGTTTTCTGAAACTTCTCATCATTTACTGAGTCAGGGAAGCCTAATGGATATAAATCTGGATTATTTTATTAAAGGTTTCTTGTTTAATCTCTAGCAAGATTAAGATGGTTTCAAGATCACAAGTACTGTTCATTAATCTTGTGCTCCTGAGCAGAGCACTTAACCCAGGTTGCTCCAGTGAGACTCTCCCTGTAATAAGTCTCCTGTATGTAGCTACAGTTTAAAAAGTGTCTGTTTAACTATTGAACACCTTTTAATAGGGCTTATGTGAATAAATGAGAATGCAAGGGTTGTAGGCAGATTTTGAAAAGTGACATAGAAGAAAACTATCTGTATGGTAAATACTGGTCTAATTGTGTGTTCAAGTCCACCTGGGAAGTTTATATTTACGAGTTGGAAAGTTGTAATTACAATGCCAGGAACGTTCAAATAAATTGGTCGGAACAAGATGCCAATTTTCTAAGTAAAATTCAAGAATTTTTAACTACAAATCTATAAAAATAGTGAATAAAGAATGTGCATTGGGTGTGTGTTTGCTTTTTATTACATTTATGAAGGTGCTGTATATTGAATTGTACTGTATACATTCTATCGTAACTGTACAATATGGTATTTTGTGTGTACACACACACGCACATTTGTATTATTTTTGACAACATTCTGAGAAATAATGTGTTCTTCGTGAATGAAAGTTGGTTTATTAAATATAAGGAAATATCTATTAATTATTTCAAATATTGGTTAAAAATATTATCTATGTTTCTAAACATAATCTAATGTTTCTGGAAATACATTATATAAATATAATAAATGATAACAAATGTATGGGTAATTTTCTGTATGCATTTTTAACATTCCTCCTACAAGTGCAACACGTATTTTGTAAAACTTTTCATTTATTAAGGTGCCGTGAATTGTTATATATTCCATATTCTATTGTAACTGTACAATACTATGGTATTTTGTACATGCAAATCATTGTAAAGGGGAAAAAAATTAAATGGGTTGCATGTACAAATTTCATGTGTGTGCAACTAAACACAATCTTTCTGACATGACCATCACACACCATAAGAACACTATAAAAACATACCCTCAGGGCGTGGTGTAATGCGTGTTGCACGTAGTCGTGGTTTTGCAGAACTGCGTAGTGCGGGAGAAAGGGAGACATCTTTGCCTAGTGTTGGGACTTGCGGCAAAGAAAAGATGATTTCATATTTGTGATGGCTCCTTAAAAATCCCACCTAGATACAGAGTTTAGCAGTCAACGATTTCAGGATGCAACACATCTTATATACTGTTTGTTTTCTTCTTTTCTCGTTTATTTTTCAAGTTTTTTGTTTTGGAAAGCAGTTTCTTTCACCTTAACAAGATATGCACCATCAGGTTCTGGTAGAGCTGTGATTACTTTATCCTGAAGCTTTTCATCACAACTTTTGTTAATGGAAACGTCTTCATCATCATCATCAGGGAAATGTACTCCACCTTTTGAAGTGGAGCCTGGCGATGACAAAACAGGGGTGGAGTTAAGATCACAGGATACTGGACCAGAAGATACATGCTGCAATGATTAATGCAGGCTGAACCCAGTGTGGGAGAGCTGTCAGAACAAACACACACTGGAAGTGTTAAAAGATGACGAGAAAGGATAAATGTATAAATACATAATGCACATTTAGATGAAGTAAAAAAAATCTAAATATTATTTTAAAAATGTATACACATTCAAATAGACATTATGAACCCAGAAAAGACACTGACTTTTCCTTCCTGTTGCCATTTCAATATAAGGCCAGGGAAATCCAGGTATGATGACTGGCGTCAATTTGATATCATCTCTAAATAACAGACACTGAGTTAGAGAGAATGATCCCTGCAGAAGAACAGAAGATGCTGTGAGTTATGTAATCTGTGATCAGTTTGTAATGTTCTGTACTGTACTATTCCCTGATGTTTCAGACAGTATATATATATATATATAGAGAGAGAGAGAGAGAGAGAGAGATTTAAAGATATTAAAGGGGTCATATGATGCGATTTCAAGTTTTCCTTTCTCTTTGGAGTGTTACAAGCTGATTGTGCATAGATAAGATCCCAGAAGTTGCAAAGACTAAAGTCTCAAAACCAAAGAGATATTCTTTATCAAAGTTAAGACTCTGCCACGCCCCCCCTAAAACGGCTCATTCTAACACGCCCCCACATATCTCCCTCACTATGTGGAAATATTTGCATAATGCCGCCCAAATGTTCATGCAAAGAAAGAAGGCGTGGTTTCAGTAACCGCAGTTAGTGTTGAAGCAGCATGTCAGGGAGAATGCAGGTTATTTCCCCAACTTCTAAATTATTAATTGTGCATCCCATGAGCATTCTTGATTTGCATTTCATTGGCTTTGCAGCATAATCCTGCTGGGTTCAATGCCACAGGATGGAGGTACCCCATTTTTATCATCTTAGTTCGCAGTAGTAACTGAGGTTAATATGGCGAATCATCTGAGTTATCATTTATGAGGCCTGTTATTAGGCCAAAACCCCATTCAGATGCTTGCTTGTTTACCCCCAAGTCAATTTTAGACTTTATGCTGACACCATTCAGCATAGGTGCATGAATTTTACTGCTGTTGTTTCATATCGAAAATGTTTATGTTTTGTTTTATTCATTTTGAATTATGTTTCTCTCTGCCTCATACTACACACATCCATATAATGGACATTTTTTGATTCAGTCCCCTAATGATATGCTGCATGGAAGAAAAGATACATAAAAAAGGTATATAACATAAAAAGGTATAGGCTATAAAGTAAACATATTATTATTATTTAAGCGAGAACTGCAGATACAGCTGGTCATGTGATCTCAACATGGCCGCACTCATGATGGGTGGACCCGCTCCATGTAAAATTATTTTATTTTAATTTTCCTCAAAATGGCTGTGAATTTTAAAATGTGTGTACCTTTAAATAGCAGTTAAAATTGTTTTGACGAATTATTGAATGAATCCCCAAAATTGTCAACTTGTAAGCTGTTGTTGTAATCACACTGCACACTGTGTTTTTGTACTATAAATGATGTAGTCTACTTGGGAGTGGAACTCTATGTACAGACCTGCAGAGAGGTAAACCCTGATATTGTCCCCTGTAGTAGATTTATTTGTAGATCATGCAGGCAGATGGGACTCCAGACCCATCCTGATTAATAATGACATACACAACAATTTCACATGAAAACCTTTGGCTTTAATCGGGGTCATTACGCCAGTTTAGTCAAGGTTATTTCAGAGAATTACACTCACATTCAAACTAAAGCGGCTTATGATACCGCGCTCATCCCGACGACTTATTTCCAGCCATTCTTCCAAAGCACCCCTGCAAAATCACGTCAAACATGAGGATAAGAAAAAAAGCGGCTTATGCACCAATAATCGCTGAGATGGACGATGCAAGTTATAGAGATGTCTACATTAGATATAGGCGGTCCCCGAGGAGTCCGCCTTTGCCGGATACACAAACCCTTCGAAGGCAGCGCCTGACGACAAGGCATCTCTCGTTCATAATTTATTAAAGTACAGCATGTTATGGTCTGTGTAAAAATGGGACAACACTGCGTCGCGTGCCAGTGTCCCGTTTGGCACCATTGACAGAGAAAAAATCAACAACTCGACATTAAAAGAGTAAGTGGTTTAGCCAAAATGCGCACATTTTGTATAATAATCATATATCCTACCTTGTCGTTTGACGTATCGTCTAAAAGACAGAATCATAAATACACCTGGGGGAAAATGTCTTCTGATGACTGCAAGGCGGCTTATTTTTATTATATTAAATTTTTTTCTTATGCTTTTATTAATATTTTATGCTCCCACTTAAGAAAAAAACTGAAATTGTGCAGTGATGGTAGCTTTAAAATGTGCGTGTGCACATAGACTAGTTGAAAATAAAAATAATTTTAATCGGAAATTCACTGAAATCAAACTTACCTGTGTTACATGGACTGTAGAGTGGAAGCAGGTTTGTGGCGTTGCCTGAAGCGCTCTGCCATCAGTCCCCTCGAACGCAGCGTGTGGAGGTCTGACGCTGCGCGCGGTCACAAGAAAGGAGCTACAGCCATTGGTTACTGGTGGTTACTTAACGTCTAGCTCTCCTTTTCTACCTCTCCCTCATTATATACACGAAATGTGGAGGCAAGAGGTCCGGGCCAGTGCCCCAGCAGAATCTCTGACTATCATTGGCTTTGAGCAGGGCTGAGCTGAACTGGTGACCACATTGGCCTCAGCCAGCACTGCAAATGTAAAACTGATATAGATGAACAAAAATAGAATGAACAACAATAAATGGCCAACTGGAAATAAAATATGCAATAAATACAAAATCATGCTGTAGCTGCTTTGATTGGAATGCATGATATCACACTGCACACATGCATCAGTTCAGTTTTTATAAGCCAACAAAGAAGCTGCAGTTGTGAAATACAGTTGCCTTTACAAAAAATTATTTAAAACGTAAAGTTGCAATTATGATAAAAGGCAAAATGATTTTATTATTATTATTATTAGTCACAATTGCATAACTTAAAGAGTTCACCAAAAAATGAAAATTGTGTCATTAATTACTCACCCTCTTGACGTTCCAAACCTATAGTCCTTCGTTCAACTTCGGAAAACTAATTCAGATATTTTTGATGAAATTCGAGAGCTTTCTGACCCTCCATAGACAGCAAGGGATTTACCACATTCAAGGCCCAGCAAATTAGTAAGGACATCGGTAAAATAGTCCATGTGACATCAGTGGTTCAACTGTAATTTTATGAAGCTACGAGAATACTTTTTGTGTGCAAAATAAACAAAAAAATAACGACTTTATTCAGCAATTTCTTCTCCTATGTCAGTTTGACGTTTGTTCACAAGAGTACTACAACGTGTGCGTCGAAGACTGACACGGAAGAAAGGAAATGGTTGAATAAAGCTGTTATTTTTGTTTTCTTTGTGCACAGAAAGTATTCTTGTAACTTAATAAAATTATGGTTGAACCACTGATGTCACATGGACTATTTTATCGATATCCTTACTACCTTTCTTGGCCTTGAATGTGGTAGTTGCATTGCTGTCTAAATATCTTTGTGTTCCGAAGATGAACGGAGGTCTTACGGGTTTGGAACGACATGAGGGTGAGTAATTAATGACAGCATTTTCATTTTTTGGGTGAACTATACCTTTAAAGCCACAGTTACTCCTTAACTTACAAAAGTTGCTGTGTAGATTCTTTTAAAGACTTTTGGTCTCTGGCTTGTCTTAAAGGACCATAATCTCATAATATGGACTCTAGAAATTCAGAGAGTACAGACAACATTGAAATAGAAGAGATGCAGTCACCTATATACTGTATATTCACATTTATTTTTGTTTTACTATAATGTACAAAACACATATTTGAATATTATACATTTTTATGCTTAGTCAAGCTTAATACTAATGGGAGGTTATTTTACAATCAGAGCTCCATCAGCATCCAATCTTGTATTCAGTGTCAAATTAAATCCCAGATTTCAAGCCTTGGCAATCATTTTCACTTCATAAGTCTTTTTGTTTTAAGTATATCATATAGTCTATAAGGTATAGTCTATAAGGATTAGCTGTTTATGTTTTGTTGAATATATATTTAAAAAAAAACATTAAGCCAATGAATGATCTCATAGATTGTAAATTAAAACCATATTGATTGTTATCATTTGGAATTAAATAATAAAGTAAACAAACCCTGTGAGCTTTATTTTTGGTTCTATCCCACTATTCTTTCATTTTTCAGTCTGCCCGCTTGGGTTAGCTGGATAGGCAGGACATATGATAAGCGGGGCCTCATTTTTTCCAGATTTGTTCGTGCATGGGCTGAAAAAAGGATATAAAGTCTCTGCAAAGGAGTCTGTGAAGGTAAATATCAGTGACTTTGTATCTGCATTATAAAAGGACAATTGACCTTTTTCATAGTCCACACACACGCCGACGTGCTGTGGTTTTGGGTGTACAACTATAGGCATTGATGGTTCTGTGCGGAAGACATATTCATGCTTGTCTCGTAGACTTAGAAACCAAAATCCATTAGCTGGGTTTGCGACTAGTTTTCCTTTCCTGTTGATGGAGTGACTAGCAATGCCCAAATCCCAGTCCGTCTTCTCACCCACAACAACTTCCCAGTAATGGCAGCCAGAGCTTATACCTTGGCGGCCAAGTACACACACTACACGGTCAAACCGTTCAACTGTGTCTGGCACCGTCTGGTAGCGGTCACGGCAGTGCACCTGTTTACCATCATCAGTGATAATCAGACGTGGATGGGCTGAGTCTCGATCTAGGGTCACGTCCACTGAAGAGAGAAACAGGACAGAGTTGAAAACAAGATGTTTGCAGACATACAAATGAAAAAAGTGACATAAATAACACATATTTGAAGAATCTAATAATGTGAAATGATTTCATACTTGCATATTCCTGCACTTTCCACACTTCTACAGATATATGAAAGTAGAAAAAAATATTACTTTTAAAATGAAAAAGAAAAAACAAAATGCAGAATTAAATGGCTTTGTACAAGACTATAGGTCCAATCATATACAATACCAGTCAAAAGTATGGAATATTAGGCAGCAAAAACAATTTTCAACATTGAAAATAAGAACCATTATTAATGCTTAAGGATCAAATCAGCATATACGTAAGAATTATTTCTGAAGGATCATGTATGAAGACTAGACTAATGGCTGCTGAAAATTAAGCTGATAAAATAACATGAATAACTTATATTTTAAAATATATGAAAATCGAAAACAGTTCTTAAAATCTCAATTATTCCAAACTTCTGACCTGTAGTGTATTTTGTCATAATAATATCAACATATATGAAAACAGGCATTTTCAGCATTTTTTCAAGATTCAAGATTTAATTTTATGCTACTCTTGGGTAAGATGTAGTGTATTTTTTCATTTAATTTGTCATCGACAAATAATTTGTCATATGAGCCAACAATATATAGTCGATAATATCTTAAAAGTTTAAATTATAAGATTAGTATTTTATGCTACTCTTGGGTAAGACGTAGTGTATTTGCATTTCATTTGTCATCGACAAATAATTTGTCATATGAGCCAACAATATATAGTCGATAATATCTTAAAAGTTTAAATTATAAGATTAGTTTTGAACCTGGCTTTGAAATGTGGACTGTAACAGAGAAAATGCAGTTCTCTGTAGTGATATTAAAACTCTGTGTAATTTTTATGATTTAGCCCCCAGCACTGAAAACTGTGACGGAAAGCTAAAATTGGACTGGTCGGAGGAAAAGGAGAAAAAAAAACTTACTTTGTTGATATATTTCCAGTGGGTTTCCTGTGGAAGGGCACAAACCTGACAGCACAACAATACATACCATAAACATGACTGAGAAAACAGTGATGTGTACATGTAAAGATCAAAATTCTGGTCTTTGCTTTGGTACTATTTTTACAAGCAACGGTTACATTTTCAAAACAGATCATCAAAAGTGCTGTTTTTTCAAACATTTCAGCGTATTTTCAATTGTCTTAGTACAATACACACAATCACAAACTATCCTTTTCATTAAACAAAATAATTATTTCATCTATATAAATGTTTCATTCACAGTAACTACCTTTCATAAAGCTCTTACTATCAAACTTTTCATTTGCATGACTTTTCATTCAGTTTAATACATTTGTCTATTATTTAATCTCATCTTAATGGTTAATCAGTGAATCATTTGGTACATCTATACTATACTACTATATAGATATAGATTTAATAAAGAACTTGTTTGCAATTTAGGGATAACCAAATGTAATTAATTATTTATCATAGATGATAACCACTATTTTGTAAGTGTGTGTAACTGAGTGGTTCAGGTAAACCCTATGTTATTGAGGACAAAATGTCCCCACAAAAATGGCAATATCTGAAATCCTTGTCCTTGTGGGAGAAAAACCCAGCATTTTCGTAGGGTAGGCTTAGGAGTAGGGTTAGTGTAGGGTGATAGAATATAAAGTTTGTACAGTATAAAACCCATTACCCCTATGGAATGTCACCATAATGATAGGAATACCTGTGTGTGTGTGTGTACCTACTTAACCATATTGGGGACAAATTGGTACCCAGAAGTGAGCAAAACCTGACAAAATCGCCAAAAACCTCCCTTTGAGGATGTCCTCATTTGTAAAATGGTGTGTTTTGCCATTTGTGAACATACAGCAGGACACAAGGGAGAGGAACTGATCAGAGATTGATCAGAGATGTATCAGAAGAAGGGAGACAGATGGCATCAAATACAGCATTTTACATTACATTATGGCATGTGATACTGTATATAGAGGCATTACCATGGTAGAGACTGCACATTACTATACCTCAACTTTCATCTGAAAAGGTGGCACAGTATGGCACAGTAAGGACATTTCCTCCATTGACAGTAAACTCTGCTCTTGCACAAAACCTTATCGCCATGTCAACACCTTTTGATAACACACTGGATAAATACTTTTACAAACATTAAGGATTTTATGTGAGATATGCAAGTTAGGTAATGTAAGTGTATTTTCTAACATGACAGTTATTGCCTGTATTACTGTAATTATTTCAGAAACAAAGGTGATTTGAAACATGAATCTTGCATTAACTGATTGTTAAAAGTACTAAATTGAAAGTTTTACTCACTTAAATCTTACTGTTGTGTTTTGGTGATTAAATCAAATGTTCGCAATACATATCACAATGATCTTGTGTTCTGAAACAATGATTATGTGGAATGAAAATATGGGCAACTTCAATGAAATCATGAGATCAGGTTTTGAAAGAATGACTAGTGGTGTTACAAGTGTGATCTGTTTAAAGTTTTGTACTAAGAGTTTTGAAAATGTACACCTTACTTATGAAAATAGTACCAAACCAATAAAAAAACTGTAAAATCTCCTTGGATTTTAAACAAACAATATGTTTGGTGAGGTGAAGCATCTGAAGTGCTCTTGAGTCAAAGATGATGTCATGCTGTTCACATTAACAATATTCAAACCCTATTAATTTGAAGGAATATATGAAAAAGAAAATTCTGTTGTTATGCACTTTCCAGTCTACGGAAAAAAGTCATTTGGGTTTGGAACTGCAACGAAAGTGTATGTAAATGATCTGTTAAAGAGCAGTTTATGAAGGAACTTTGTCTTACAGATCGCAGATAGTCTTCTCAGGGCTTCCTGAACCTCCTCCACCATCTGAGTGACATTTCTCAGCACTGCTTCTGCAGTGGGGTCAGGGGTCAAGGCCACTTCTGCCCAGCTCTTTGTCTCAGGTAAGCTACTGTAGGCTGGATATGTCTGAAAAGAAACGACAATACATTAAATATTGGTTATATTTCAGGGTAATAAATATAAAACAAACAATACAATTGGCTTTTGACAGGTTAAGTTATTTAAGGTGAATACATGGGACAATTTCTCAAATATCAATCATTAAAACAGTTTAAGTCTGGTTTTACCTTGAAGAAGAAAACATGATCTTGGGACTGGGTCAACTGATTGATGTTGCTAAATCTATTTCTAAGTTCAGAGATCTCCGTCTGCAGGTCACGTATGAAGGCCTGAGAGCGAAGTTCTGCAGCCTGCTGTCCCATCTCCACCACCCCCAGAAGTTCAGCCTGGGACTTCTCAACAGCTTTCATTAACTCAGCAAACATACTCACAGTACCTGCTTTCTCTCGCTCTGCATTTACCTTAAAGCAAACAAACGAGACGAAGAAGAAAATATAGCAGACAATTAGGAGAATTAAGAGAATGAGGAAACCACGTTCTTTCAAACGCATATGACTTTTTCTATGGAACAAAAAAAGGTATTTTGAAGAATATTCAAACAAATTTTCCATGCAGCAACAGTTCCCCTTCAGGAACTCGAGCTGCGTCAAAACGCTTTGGGAATGCCCTTACGAGACCACGTTCTGAACTAAGTGCAATAGTAGGGACTTTAAGCTACAACAGCTGATGGAAACGGCAAAGAAAGTGCGATTGCGCATGCTTCGTGACGTGTACATTGTAACGGTCTACTATGGGAGTACAGCTAATTTGCCATAGTCACTACTACGTGACAGATTAAAAGGCGAGTATATTTTACATGGTAAATCTAGGTTTTTAGACTTATTGGCATCATACAAGACTAAAAACTCTTCTACTGACAATAAGTTGTAGTTTAATGCCAAAAGCACGCTTTCTCTTGCCCGTTTAAATTACATTTTTTATTACGCTAATGATAAATGATTGAATGTTTCACGGTTGTTGCTGCTGCTTAGTGATTTTTGCGCTCTTTGGCTGTTAACAGTTTACATCAGATCACCGTTGACGTTCCATCAGCTGTTGTTGCTGAAAGTCCCTAGTATGTTCCTGCACAACCAGAGGCTGCAGTTTCAGGACCGCAGTTCTAGGACCCTATTCTTTTGGAACAGCGCCACCTACCAAATTGGATCACTAAAGATGGATGACATGGGCAGCAATCAGAGTGAGTAACTTTACAGATTTTCAATTAAGTTTTATTTTATAACCTTAAAGCGATGCAAAGTTTACGTAGCCAACATGAGAACTGCAAAGAAATAATAATTAATTCCCGATTGCTAGTTTTATTCATTATTACGATGTTCTTAATTCGTGGCCATGATTTAATTAAGCTAAACCTTGTTTAAACTGCAGCCTCCGGTTGAGCAGGAACACCCTTCTCAGCAAGTGTGGAATCAGTCCAATGGAGAAGCGAGACGTCACAAGCGGTGTGACGTGAGCAACCAGGAAGCATAAAGGTGCATCCGGCAAACGCACATGTTAGCTTCTGCTCTTCAGCGAGTGCGTCTGTGGTGTATGTGTATGTGTCTGCAAAAGCACTCAGTCAGTTAGTATTCCTCTGTATAGAAAGCAAGAACAATGCCAAAGTGTAAATAAAAATCAGTGGCGAGTGGACGGCATTTCAAATCAATTTGTGCGTTGTCTGTTTGGGAGTGGAGCACGCACCGTCAGCCCTCAAGGGGGACACCACAGAGTTAGGGTTTTTAGAACTTTAACAGCATGCGCAGCGCTGACCTCATACGTCATTCCCCCGGAACTGCTTCCGCGTACAACAGTGAGCGCAAGCTAGATTAAAGTGATTATTACGTTTTGAATATGGATATTTTTCTTACAAAAACGCATCGATTCGCTACAGAAGGCCTTTGTTCACTCCCCGGAGCCGTGTGAGACACTTTTTTTTATTGATGGGCGCATTTTATTTAACTGCTTTTGGACGGATGCATGCAACACCCGCTGAGTGGCATTAAACAGCTTAAAAGATCAAAGACAATTTTTAATATAACTCCCGAGTGCATTCGTCTGAAAGAAGGATGGCTAGGATGGCTCTGTGGTGAGTAAAAGACAGCTTAATTTTCATTTTTGGGTGAACTAACCCTTTAAGGGTAATTTACCAGTGAAGACTGTATTTGTGAAAGGGGCTAAACTCTTCCTCTGCATATGCGGTGACTTTGGGTTACTTTCATTTTGGAAAACTCACTTGATTTGTAACGTAAATGATTTAAACCTATGCCAACACAGGAGAATACATCAACATATTTCTAAATATGTGATTTATTGTACATCGCAATTTCAAAATAAAAGTTTCTGACTTTGCATGTGGCCAAATATTAAAATTAAGTGGATTTAAACGTCGTTGAATCACACGAAACATCACTAGGCCACTGGCGCCCTCTGCAGCTATTTGTTATAATATAGGCATTACATTTTGTATTTAAAGGGGTCATATGATGCGATTTCAAGTTTTCCTTTCTCTTTGGAGTGTTACAAGCTCTTGATGCATAAAAAAGATCTGTAAAGTTGCAAAGACTAAAGTCTCAAATCCAAAGAGATATTCTTTATCAAATTTAAGACTTGTCCAAGCCCTCCTAAAACACCTCGTTTAAACACGCCCCACACGTGTCTACATCACTGTGTGGGAAGATTTGCATAACACCGCCCAAATGTTCACGCAAAGAAAGAAGGCGTAACTTTTATTCTCGCTGTAGTATTGTTGCTGCCGCCATGTTGTGAAGGCGCTGTGTGTTTCGTTGTGAAAGCGAAACTACTTTGTTTGGCCTTCCAAAAGAGGACAATATCCGCTTCGTCATGCCTAAAGCTGATCCGTGCTGGTTGCTGAGGAAATACATCAACTTCGCGCTGTGGATCGCCGGATCGGCTTTCACCGTGGACAAAGCGGAGTCCAGCCCGGGGTCGTCACATGTGTTTGCCGCAAGCCCGCCGGCCACGCCGTTCTCTAGCCCGTGGGCCGCCGCTCACTCTAACCCGCCGGCCGTTCCTCACTCTAGGCTACCGGCCGCCGCTCACTCAAGCCCGCAGTGTGTGAAGCATTTTATGGAGGACTGTTTCTTGAACCTGCAGAGTAGTTTACAATGGGTCTGTGCTCAAAGGCTGTTCTATAAAATGGGGCAGTTCCAACTTTGCAAGGACAGTCTGGCGTTTCTGACTCACAGCCTGTAAGTACATTTTTTATATTTAAAGAATTTGCCACTGATGATTCAAACGTGAGTTCTGAGCAGTGTAGAGTAGCACTTGTTTTTTGTCGTTTCTCCAATCACAAATGCAGACATGGTTTTATGTTTATGTGGCGCGATACGCAACGCAACGCTTAAAAACACAGTATAGTCAGTAATGATGTCCCCACTGGATGCAACAAATGCCTAGTTTAGTTTTGTGTAGTCGTGCATCACAGTATGGTAAGGGGCGTAACATTTCCGTCAAACGCTTGAGGTATTCAGCCAATCACAATGTGTGATGTGAAGTGACGTGTGGCCAAGTATGGTGACCCATACTCAGAATAAGTGCTCTGCATTTACCCATCCAAAGTGCATACACACAGCAGTGAACACACACAAACCGTGAACACACACCCGGAGCAGTGGGGAGCCATTTATGCTGCGGCGCCCGGGGAGCAGTTGGGGTTCGGTGCCTTGCTCAAGGGGGAGCAGTTTGGGTTCGGTGCCTTGCTCAAGGGCACCTCAGTCGTGGTATTGCAGGTGGGAGAGAGTGCTGTACATTCACTCCCCCCACCTACAATCCCTGCCGGTACGAGACTCGAACCCACAACCTTTGGGTTATGAGTCCGACTCTCTAACCATTAGGCCACGACTTCCAATGCACTGGAGCTTTTCAGAACGATGAGCTTTGTAAAAATCGATGCGTTTCAGAAAGGCAGGGCATAGAGGAGAAACAATAATGTAGTATGTGAAAATAATGTGTTTTTTTAACCTTAAACCGCATAAACACCTTGCATTACACCAAATACACAACAAAATGTTATTTTTAGCAACGTCATATGACCCCTTTAACAGTGTTGTTTAATAAAACCGTGTACTTGGTTTTAATACTTTATTTGAGGCCAATTATTATTTCCTCATCGTTACTTTATATATAAATATAGTCATATTAAAGCCTGTTTTTCCCCTTAGTTCTATTTGTATTACTAAAAAATATCAGATTACTCACTTTTCAAAATAATCAGATTACTTGATTAGCAAAATAATAATTAGTTAAGCATTAGATTAGTTAAAACATTTCAAAATACAACTGCATTGTTTTACTTTTTGTGATTAAAATACAAATATTTTGTCATTTGAAAATTTCTTAAAGTATTAAAACATTGTCCACCGTAGGAACCAAGTATCTGCATTTTGTCTCACCTTGTGAGTTAAGTGTATTGTCACCAGTGTTGGGCAGTAACTAGTTACTAGTAACTTAGTTACTGTAATAATATTACTTTTTGCAGTAACTAGTAGTGTAACTAATTACTAATAAGATTTCAGTAATAATATTACAATTACCATCCATAAAACAGCTTAGTTACTTTTGATGCCTCAATCCCCGCTGATTTAAAATCCAGCAATCAAATAATTCCTAGATTTATTTTCATAATTTTCATGACACGCACATGCATGTGATGTCCCCAGTGCAGCAGGCAAGCTTGGAATATGGAAAAGCTTACATTCAGCAGATAGAAATATTGCATTATATTGATTTTGTCAGGAAAAAAAGATGATCTGAACACTGTTGTGTAAGTTGTGGCTTTACTTTACTCGCTGGCATTACATCCTTCTGATCAGCATGTGGTACGTTATATTACTATAATTAAAAATCTTTTTGGAAAATTAATCAGTTTCTTACAAACTTATGTGCTTTGATAAAATACACAATTAAATATAATCGTATATGGGGAACGGAGAAATTACAATTAGCTTCAAGCTACATATGACAATTAATGAGATTAATACAACACTTAATGTCACTATCAATCACTATTGAGTGTTTGTAATAACTTTTGACTGCGATCCAATGTGGATTTTGGTCAAATGATGAGGCAGAAATATGTTGTTAGTAACATTGTAGAAGAATTTTATGTGGAAGATACACAGTTACAACTTCTGTGGGGTGTGAAGAAAAAGTAATGTTACTAGTAGTGAAACTAATTACTGTTGCCAGAAAGTAATAAGTAACGTAAAAATATTACTTTTGAAAGGAGTAGTAATGAGTAATATATTGCATTCTTTGAGTAACTAGCCCAACACTGATTGTCACACCCTAGTGTCTATGAGCGTGATAAAGCTAATCATTTTCCGAGTGTATGACATAGCATTCATTCTTCAGGTCAATCATATATTCATGAAAAAAAAAATCTGTTTGAATAAGGAAAGCAATAACTTTGCCATAGTATCCTTTCAAATGTTAAAGTTGCCACAGTCATTGCATTTTTTGCATGTGCTGCACTTCATTTGTTCCATTTTGTTTTATTAGTTTATTTATTAGAATTTGAAAGATAATAACAATATTGATTAATAAGTGAGATCTGATTTTAGTCCTTGAAAACCAAAAAAGAAGTGCAAGTCCTTGAAAGTCCTGGAATGTTATTTTGCAGTATCTGTACAAACCCTGTTTAAGTTACCAGTTCTTGGACCATTTTAATGTTTTTGTTGTTGTTATTTGAACTGAACTGTAGTTTTCTGTAGTAAACTGTCTTTGTATATTTCCTATTTTATATTAATTTCCTAGTATTTAATTTATAATTATTTCTTTTGAACAAAACAATTTTAGAAATGTCATGTTTTAGATTGTAGGTCGTCTTGTACACTGTCAAGGACAAAGCTAACCAGCAAAACTTGATATCAAAAGCATCCTAAATGTTACATGTGTTTGCACCATATTGTAGTGAGTAACCTTTCTTGGTATTGCTGTTTCAAATATCACACCATAATCTGTAGTCTGAGCCTGGCAAGGGCTAATGGCAGTGGCAGATACGTTACTAATTAGTTTCAAGGAAAATCATTTTCTTTTTTTGTTTGCCAAATAACCCTGTGTATGTGTCCGCCCCCGCAACCCCCAAACCCCGGAAAAAAGTTCAGGCTCAGGATTTTTTTTGCTTTAACCCCTGTAATTGGTCTTAACACATCAAACTTGACTAAATTAAACAACAGGGCCATTACTCGTATGGCGACTTCAATTGAGCAGGACATTACACTCCCATTAAATTGGTACCCCACCCCAATCCCTTCAGGACTTAGTACAGGGTACTAAGGTGCAGAAGGGCTCGCTTTTGGGAAAAGCCTGATTCCTGCTGTTATAGTGGCCCCGAATAAAAGGCCGAGCTGAATAGGCCAGGATGCGGACATTGATATAAAGCAGACTTTGTTAATGTAGTTTTGACATCTAGATGTGTAATACTTATGACAGGATGTTGTGTCATGGTATCACTGTCTGTGGAATGGAATGATGCTGTGAAGAAGAATTTCCCCTAATGGGGACAATAAAGTCTAAAGTCTATACCTCTGTATATGGTGCCCGATCCTCCTCAGTGCCTTCAGGGAGCTACACTGCCACCCCTGGTGCTTCAGGGCTTAGTAAGCTCCAACAAGCAAACTTCCCAGCTGCCGCCCGGCAACGGTACAGCACGGGAAGTCTCGTCCCCTCAAGTGAGGGCGCTAGAGCAGTCAGGTTGGTCGTTCCCTGTCGGTCATCCACTTCAGGGCACCAACATGGCTCCACTAGCTACACCAGAGGCCAGTCTTGAGAGGCTGGTTCCCTTAGTAGACTTTCTGGCAGCGTGTAAACTTCTGCCAAATGTCTCACAATGGGTCCTGCAGACTGTAGAAAGAGGCTACAGAATTCAGTTCGGTTCTTGTCCACATCGTTTCATTCCACCTCGTGGTCATTCCCACTCTAGTGGGCCCTGTGCAGGCTCAGGTATTGGAACAAGAAGTAGACACTCTCTTGAGGAAGGAGGCCATAGAACGTGTTCCTACTCTCTCTCGAGAGTCCAGTTTCTACAGCTGTTGCATCCGATCATAGATCTGCATCTACTGAACTGTGCTATCAAACGTTTTCGGTTCAAGATGCTCACTATCAAACAGGTTGTGTCTCAAATCAGGTCCGAGGACTGGTTTGACACGATTAGCCGCTTTTTCACTGTCGGGCCAGTGCGAGCCAGTGATTTAAATGGGCCAGGCCGGGCTAATAGCCTCGGACCTGTAGCACCGAGCCCAAAATCACGATGTGTTTCCACCGTCGGCCCAGAAGCTCCGCTGCACTTCACTAAAACCCGCCCTTTGCACACTTCTCAGGAACAATGTCACGCAACCCCATCATTTCACCAACAAAGAGAAGGTTTATCAGAAAACTAATCAGAAAGTCACTGGAACTAGCGCGATCACAAAACTAACATGATAAAAGCGGCCGTTTGTTGGCATGTTTCGTTAAAGATTTAAATCCAAAAGTATTGATATTTTACAATAATAAGTGATACATTGTTCATAATGAATTAATTTATCAGGATTGAAAATTAGTCACACAGAAATAAAGCGGTATGAACCGTTATTTTACAAAAGAAAGAGGACACATCCTACTTATTCAGTCGAGTCTGTTATTGTTTATTTGTAGTCACAGTATACATCACATTCAGAAAAAAATATAATTTCTATATTTTTTCCATCAAAAATACGACCTGATTAGCAGAGGGAGCTCCCGAACAAAAAACATTATTATGATATTTTTTATGACGTACGCGGAGCTTATGACAGATAAAATATGTTACAAAATAAATACACGATTGTGATAGAGAATGAGAAGCTGACGTCTGATTTCCCATGTTTACCATGGTAACGTTAATGGCTAGCGTGCATAGTCTTTTGCATCACTTATAAATACCTATTTCTGCATGGTATGGTGATCATAATCCACACTGGATCTCAAATCGAAGTTTCAAATACTCGCTGCTGTCTTAAAGTGAGATTTGAGCTCAACTTATTTTAAAAGTCTTTGATGCTGGTTTGTTATCTGTTAACTTTATGAAATGATGCGCGGCACTGACGTTCTCCAGACGCGGAGAAACTCTGCCTTTGTTCATAGCCACTCCTCTAGCCCCAGTTGTCCCGCTTTGGCCCAAGGTTTTCGTCGGGCAAAAAACCCGGGCCGTTGGCCCCGAGGAAGCACTGACGAGGCACGATCAAGCCCCGGAAATGACAGTGGAAACACGACTGGCCCTGGCACGCACTAGCGTGCCTGCTTTTGGTCCAACAGTGGAAACGTGGCTATAGATCTCAAGGATGCATACTTCCACATATCCATCCTTCCTCAACACAGGAAGGTCCTGAAGTTTGCTTTCGGGGGTGAAGCATACGAGTATCGGGTTCTTCCGTTCGGCCTCTAACTCTCACACCGCACTTTCACCAAATGTGTGGATGCTGCCCTGGCTCCGTTGCGACTCCAGGGCATCCGCATACTGAATTATATCGACGATTGGTTGATTCTAGCTCATGATGGCGGCTCGGCATGGAGATGTCGTCCTCGCCCATATGAAAGGGCTGGGGTTACGGCTAAACGGCAAGAAAAATGTGCTTTCTCTGCTAAAGAGGACCACTTATCTGGGCGTGGTGTGGGATTTGATGACGATGCTGTCACAGCTGTCTCCTGCTTGTATCGAAGCGATTCTCACAGCCATGAAGGGAGTGAGAGAAAGCCAGTCACTTACTGTCAAACAGTTTCAGAGACTGTTGGGTCTGATGGCAGCTGCGTCCAACTTGATACCTTTTGGCCTGCTGTACATGAGACCCTTGCAGTGGTGGCTCAGGACCAAGGGGTTTTCCTCGAGGGGGAACCCGCTTCGCATGATCATGGTCATGCGCCGATGCTTATGTGCCTTACTCATGACCTTGATCATGCGAAGCGGGTTCCTTGGTTCCTGTCTCAAGGCCTGGTGCTGGGGGCTCTTTGTCGCTGCATAACGCTAACGACAGACACCTCCCTCACGGGCTGGGGAGCGGTCATGAGTGGCCACTCTGCCCAGGGTCTGTGTGAATGGCGTCATCTCACGTGGCACATAAACTGCCTGGAGATGCTGGCCCTGTTTCGAGCTCTAAAACACTTCCTTCCAGACCTAAGGGGACATCATGTACTTGTCCTCACAGACAACACATCGGTGGTATCCTACATTAACCGGCAGGGGGGTCTGCGCTTGCACCCCCCATACAGGCTGGCACACCAGATCCTCCTGTGGGCCCAGGGAAAGCTCCTCTCCTTGAGAGCAGTGTACTTCCCCGGGCACCTCAATCAAAATAACAGCATATGGGTTTAGAACAACATGAAAGTGAGTAACAATGAAACAATTTTTTTTATTTTGGGTGAACTACCAACCCAAACTCATGAGAAAACGTAACTATTTTACAAGGTAGTGATTTTGTATGAATTCATACGATGTGAAGTTTTTTAAATTTTAAAAGTAAGCATGAAGGTCTACCAGTGAGCAGACAAATTTGCTTCCAATTTACCCAAACATAAAATAGCTACAAATTACCATGTGAGTGTGAACTATTCCTTTAAAATGTTAGATGCACATACTTGAATTTCTGCAAGTGATGTTTGGATCTCCTCTATCTTCCTCTCTCTGACTGTGATCAATCCTTGTAGCTCTACCTCCAAGATGCGCAACTGGGACTAAGCATAGATACAAACTGTTAACACAGATGCAACGCATACATAAATAAACATTTTCCTTTAGTCCTACATTGATTTTACTTCTCATTCACGTGCATAATACGTACACTAACCTTCTTAATATTCATCTCTCTCTTGGCCTCTATCACAGAATGCCCATAATGTTCCCTCTCTGCACATGTTATACAAATGCATGTCTGGTCAGTCTTGCAGAGTAGCTCCAAACTATGCCCATGTCTGGGACACTGTGGCCCATTGGAACCTGTTCCACTCACACTAAAGTTTCGCTTAGGTGTCTTGGCAGGAGGGAGAGAATCCGCATCGTGGGATGCCAAAGGCTCACTGGATGATGTTTTTTGAAAGCGGTTCCTCATTTCTGGCAGGAGGCCTCTGGGTAGCTCTACCGGCCTGTTCTGCGCTCCAGGTTTCACTGCAGAAAAAGGGTTGGATGGTGAATCTGCAGGTGCACTCCTAGGTGCGCTCATCGTGGTCTCCGCCATCCGTTTAAACTGCTCTGTGATCTCCTTGAGTGTGTGATTGCTGTGGAGCTCAGGACGCTTGCGGAAGCTTTCCTTGCACAAAGGACAGAAGCAGCTTTTTCCCTGACCCTCCCAGTAGGACGTGATGCATGATGAGCAGAAGCTGTGGCCGCAGGGTATGGAGACAGGATTGGTGAAAACGTCTAAGCAAATAGAACAGGTAAACTGCTCCTCTGACAGGAATTCACCAGGAAATGACATTGTGTATCTGAAAGCAAACAGACTGATTGAAAAACACAAAATACACAGGTGCACTCAAACACGTTAGCCATTGTTGCACATAACCACTATATAGATGTTTTTTGTTTTTTTTCAATTTGGAATAATTAAGATTTTTGTCTCTTATGCTCACCAAGGCTGTAGTTATTTGATCAAAAATCTCTTATATTTTTATATATTTTAAAATGTTATTTATTCCTGTGATGGCAAAGCAGAATTTACAGCATCATTACTCCAGTCTTCAGTGTCACATGATCCTTTAAAAATCATTCTGATATGCTGATTTGATGTTAAAGTTTTATTAGTTAGTATTGTAGCTATTAAATATTGTTCTTATTATTAGCAATATTAAAAACAGTTTTTGCTGCTTAATATTTTTGTGGAAAAGTTTTTTTTTTTTTCAGGAATCTTTGATGTATAGAAAGTTTAAATGAACTGCATTTATTTGAAATACAAATCTTTTGTAACATAATAAATGTCTTTACTGTCACTTTTAAACAGTTCAATTTGTCCTTGCTGTTTTTTTTTTTATATTATAATGATTTTTAATAATAATACATAAAACTTTAGAATTATATTATTGTATCATGGTTTCCACAAAATGTGACCCAGGACCACAAAACCAGTCATACGGGTCATTTTTTAAAAATTGAGATTTATATGTCATCTGAAAGCTGAATAAATAAGCCTTCCATTGATGTATGGTTTGTAGGACAATATTTGGCCGAGATACAACTATTTGAAAATCTGAAATCCGAGGGTGCAAAAAAATCAAAATATTCAGAAAATCACCTTTAAAGTTGTCCAAATGTCCAAATCCTTAGCAATGCATATTACTACTCAAAAATTAAGTTTTGATGTATTTACAGTAGGAAATTTACAAAATATCTTCATGGAATATGATCTTTACTTAAAAAAATGATTTTTGCCATAAAAGAAAAATCGATGATTTTGACCCATACAATGTATTGTTGGCTATTCCTACAAATACCCGTGTGATTTAAGTTTTGTGGTCCAGGGTCACAATCCTTGCTGTTTTTTTTTTTATATTATAATGATTTTTAATAATAATACATAAAACTTTAGAATTATATTATTGTATCATGGTTTCCACAAAATGTGACCCAGGACCACAAAACCAGTCATACGGGTCATTTTTTAAAAATTGAGATTTATATGTCATCTGAAAGCTGAATAAATAAGCCTTCCATTGATGTATGGTTTGTAGGACAATATTTGGCCGAGATACAACTATTTGAAAATCTGAAATCCGAGGGTGCAAAAAAATCAAAATATTCAGAAAATCACCTTTAAAGTTGTCCAAATGTCCAAATCCTTAGCAATGCATATTACTACTCAAAAATTAAGTTTTGATGTATTTACAGTAGGAAATTTACAAAATATCTTCATGGAATATGATCTTTACTTAAAAAAATGATTTTTGCCATAAAAGAAAAATCGATGATTTTGACCCATACAATGTATTGTTGGCTATTCCTACAAATACCCGTGTGATTTAAGTTTTGTGGTCCAGGGTCACAAATATTAAACAATTAAAACAACATTTATACTACTGCCACTACTACTACTTATACTAATAAACAGGGTGCGAACTACAGGGGAGCTAGGGGGAGCTCGGCTCCCCTTAATAAGGCATGGGCTCCCTTGAAAACGTGATTTGTGAAATTTTGGGGGGTCTCAAAAAATATTGACAACGTGTTATTTTGATGTGCAATTTCAGTTTTGTGTAATGTGATCATCGTGGATTATTATGTGTAAAATTGCTATAGGGTAGGGTAATCCTGTATAGTGATTTATCCTATATAGTGCTTGCATAAAGCAAGTAGTGCATACACTTGTAGCTGTTATGTATCTTTGTAATTCATTGTAAGCCCTTTTCAGAGGCAAGCGCACATTCATTCATTCACTCCCCCCACCAATCCCTGCCGGTACGAGACTCGAACCCTCAACCTCCGGGTTACAATACTGACTCTCTATCTAATGAATAGAGTAGAGTTAAATGCATTAAAACTGGCATTAAAAGGGAACAGTTTTCAGTTATTAGTTATATTCAACTAGTAACTAAAATGTTGGAATGAAGAAAAGCTACACAGATACAACAAAGCTGATCTAGGAGCAGCCTTCTTACCCTTACATAATGTAAAAACTGATCTAAGAAAACAGGCCGTCAGAAAAACCAAGAGCTAGAAAATACTCTGACGTATTCTTAGTTTATCATCACAAATTAGTTCTTCTTAAAGGCAAATTAGCAGTAAAGTACAATCACATGCTTCATGAAATATCTTGTAATCTATAATTACACTAGGGCTTCTTCTGACAAATGTCTCTTATTAGAAGCAAGTAAACAAAAACATTAATAGTATTAATACAAATATGTTGTGTTTACAAAATAGTTAGAATCTCATGAGCTCAGTCAATTACATGTCATCATTTCTACAGAAAGGAGTTACATAAAGTAGAACCCAGCCTTACATAAACACCTTCATATACACTCATACGGTATGAGTGTTCGGAAATACAATCTAAAAGACAAATTCACCTACATACTCATTTAAAAACGAACCTCTTGTCTGTCCTTTTCTCTTCTCTTCTGTTCCGCTTAGGATGTGGCACATAGGACACTTTCACTTTGAAGTGGAGACCTCCTGGAAACAGGTACGTCCGCATACCAACAGGCCAAGCACACACCTGGCTGCTGATCCAACCAGTCAGACAAGTGCAGATTTTCAAGGCTCTTTTTCATCTGTTTTTAAATGTTTTCTTTCGACTAACACATGCTGTCTCATAAGAACAGGACAGCGTGAGAATAGGCAAATTGTGTGAGTTCAGTGTGTGATTTCACTGTAGATGAAACAAAAGAAATATGAAAATAGAAAGTAATGTTTGTTTCTTGTTTCTAAGAATGAATTATATCAGGAGTTTTCTGATTGTTACATTCATAACATATTCATAAAGACAGAGGCAATATCATTAGTTACAGCCCCTGATGACTTGTGTTGGAAGGGTTGATTTTTGCCAATAATAAAAAGGGACTTTGTACCTTGAACAGAGTATGCCAATTAAAAATCAATGAGAAACTGAAGATTTAAACTAAAGGCCCCCACTAATTTTTCAATCACCTGTCTTCTTCTGAGACATGATAATGTGGATTGGTGATCATGTTATTGTTCTGTTATGTTAAATGATCCTTTGATCTCTTTAGTGTGTCTTTCATTAGTGCTGATGCCATGACAGCCTAATCCAGAGCTTGTATGGGTCTGTCACTGCCTTAGGCCTACTTCTACACTTTCAACCCTGACACAAATCAGCACTTCTTAAGAAGAGATGACAAGCACATTAGACAGATGGACCCTTTTCACAGACCGTGATGACGCATTTCCACAGTTATTAACAATGTAAATCTAGCATTTTTTTTAAACCCTTCTGCTTCTGAGAAACCCTGGAAATGTGAAAAGGGCTCAGATGAGGGGATTCTTGATGCCAAAATAGTAATGAATAAAAAGGCCAACTAATATTGTGGTTACACATGATACCAAAAGTCACATAAGCAACTAAAATGGGGCTGATAAAAAAATAATAATAAAAACAAACAAAAAAACCTGTCAAACTGTGAAACGTTGGAACTTCAGAACAACGTCTGTTTCGGAAAATGTGACAAGTCGCCCTCTAGTGGGGATGAAGGAGGTTCCTTTCCTAGTTCTGTCTGCTCGCCGCTTATCATCACTTCCAAGACTGTGAAACTAAAATGCTCTGACAACACAGAAATGATCAAAGTTGTAAAAATTATAGAGGACTGTCAATGCGAAACAAAAGAAGCGCAATATTCACATCCTAACGGTCCAGTGCTGGTTGATCCAAGCGTTCATCAGTACCCTCAAAAGCGATCAAATCTAATGAAGGATTATGCCTTTTGCACTAGCTAGTGTGCATGCAGTGGGTGAATACAGGAATTTACTATATCAACCAGAACAAAAGAAAAACTAAATGCATATAAAATAAAAACGAACAGTTTTTTGTGTGAAGTGTCTTAGCTCTACATTGTTGTTTCTGGTTGCTGTTGAATATTTACATTTTGAACACTGGAAATGAAAAAACTATAACCTGAACATGAGTTATATAAGAGGAAATAAAAAACGTTTTGGGGAACAGATAGAGCTGTTAGCTCGTACAGATTTAGTGCTATGTTTGCGATAAAAAAAGATGATTTACGCAATGATGGTTTATATAAAAACGTGTATTTTGCCTGCTAAAGGTAACCAAGCAAATGATTTAGTATTACATTTAAAACATTCAGTTCAATATTAAAACGATAATTAAATTGTAAAGCCTTACTTTTACTTACTCAATGAAACTCAGCATATTTATAGTTTTGTCGTGTAGTATTTATAGTTTTCAAGTGTACGTACACTATATATTTTCCTCCAACTGTACTTTGCGCCTGCTGTTTCAAACAGCGAAACGTATTCTCGCGATAACATGGAAGTCTATGTGAGACTACGAGTCGGATATCCGGTCTCTTTTCGGTGGTGGACTCCAGGCGAGAAAGTCCTCCATAATGAAGGTAGGAGGACTAAAAAAAAAAGGCTGTATTATAAGTTTATATTTCACAATGTGCTGGAAATATCGTTTGAGTTCCATTTTACAGTCTCAAAACAATCCGATGAGCTTTTGGTAATCGAGTTAGGCCCAAACGGCATGAGGGATGGATGTTGATTTTGGTAGGTCAGGAGGACAGCGGTGGAAGTGCGGCAACATGGCAGCGCCCGGAATAGACCTGCAGTGAATACATTAGAGAAATAGAAAATTCATGCGAGCTGAGGGAAATGAATGAGTCCGCATAATCACTATTGTCCTAACTTTAATTACAACGTTAGGAAACGTTCTAGCAGACTTGTATCGAGTGTCAAACTATCATCGACTGCTGTAGCATTAGCGCTTGTTTAGCTAGCAGAGAGACGTGTCAGATGAAGACCACAACCGTTTTGGCCAATTTGTATCAAACTACAGCTTAATTATCTTTTTTTCCTTGTCCAACTAGCTCAATATCTCGTTCCCCGCCACTGGCTGCCAAAAGCTGATAGAAGTTGATGATGAGCGCAAACTGAGGATCTTCTATGAGAAGCGCATGGCCACAGAAGTGGCTGCAGACTCTCTGGGTGATGAGTGGAAGGTAAGTAATTACAACTTGAATCGTGTGTATATTTCCAGCACTTTAATATTTAATGTAAAGCAGAATGGCTTGACACTATATTAAGTCTTGATTGTTCAGTTTCCCTTTTGACCAGTGCCTTCAGGTTGAGACTACATTTGACAAAAGATTGAAAGACACGAAAGGACTTTTAAAATCTAAATAGATTATAAGAACTTGGTATTTTCTTGCTAATTTGATTACAGTAGAAAACTAGGCATCTAATCGACGGATCTCACACTTTCAAGTCATTCCAAATGCAACAAATTAACATGCCAAACGAGAACAATGTTTTCCAAAATCGGCTCAAAATATCAAACATGCTTGCTATCCTCTAAGTGGATGAAATCATAATCCCGAAACAAAAAAAAATCTGTGCCTTTAATATACTATGCGATACTGTAAAATGTCAACTTGGACTGCCCAAAATCTGAAGACCTGCTTGAACTTCTAAACTAGCAACGACTCGATGACACAAGTGTGTTGTGTAGTGTATTCCATCATTAAAATCGATTCAAAACATGAAACCGGTTTAAAGTCATCCAGTGGAATGAAATCGCAGTCTGAAGCTATTGGTTGCCTAGTGAGCCTTAATTATTTTTCTGGCACTTCAGCAAGTCCTTTTTGGCTGATCAGTAGCTTAAAAGGAGGGACAGTGGTGCCTAAAGCAACAGTGGAGCTGCTATCCGGATAACAACCTGTTCATATTATTAGTGGCTGGTTGTATTGCATCACTCTGTCAAACTTTCTTCAATGCATTGTTCAGAGAATTGCTCAGGCTTTTAGTCAAAGTTTCAGTCTTATATCATGCTCTTTGTTAAATCCGCCGACTCGGGCTGTCCAAAATCTGCAGACTGCCCCCACAATGCCAATCTGACAGAAGTCGTGTAGTGTCCAGCCTTAATATCATCTCAAAATATCAAACGTGTTTGATGTCCTCTGACTAAATGGAATGATAGTCTGAAGCTCTGTGCTCCTCATACACTATTTGATTTTCTGTGAAATTGGTAAACTCCGAATGCCCAGAATCTGCAACTGGTTCTGACTTTTGGCAACTAGCACCATCTTCTCCAGAGTGCAATTTGGGGCAAAAGTATTCTCCAGATTTAAGTGGATTGACAACGGCAGTGTTTACAGTGCTGCACTTCTAACTCAAACTGACATGAACATTGGCAATGGCATAACCGTGTTTATGTTGCAGGGCTATGTTGTGCGCATCAGTGGAGGCAACGACAAACAGGGCTTCCCCATGAAGCAGGGTGTGCTGACCCATGGACGTGTGCGTCTCCTCCTCAGCAAGGGTCACTCCTGTTACCGCCCTCGCCGTACTGGTGAGCGTAAACGAAAGTCTGTCCGCGGCTGCATTGTTGACGCCAACCTCAGCGTTCTCAACTTGGTCATTATCAGAAAGGGTGAGTAAAGCTGGAAGTTACAGTTTAATAGGGGATTGTACACAGCTGTGGATCCACTTTGACATTGAATTTAATACAAATGTAAACAAGGCTGCGAGGGATAGACTTACAGTCTACTGAAAGTGAAGTGACGTGTGGCAAAGTATGGTGACCCATACTCGGAATTTTTGCTCTGCATTTAACCCATTCAAGTGCGCGCATACTGTGAACACACACCTGGAGCAGTGGGCAGTAGGGCTGTGCAATTAATCGAAAAACGATTTCAATTTTGGCCTCCAACGATTATGAAAATACAATAATCGAGATAAAATTATTATTGCGCCCCATTCCGCCCCATTTTCCAGCACCGCGCTTTCGTTCCTCCATAAAAGCCCAATTTCACATGCAAATCAGTACAATCGTGTAACTTGACTTTTGCTTTTAAATGGGGCATGCTTGATTTATAGAAGTATATTTATTCATGTTTTTAAAAGCGTGAAAGAGAACTTGCGCTGCTCCTCAGGAAGATACGCGCTCAGAGGGGGAACAGAGCATGGACATGTAAAGTCATCTTTTAGCTCAAGGTGGGCGCCTAAATGGTCAAATACACGCAAAAATGTGTCAATGCAGCGCTTTGTGATTATTCATGTATACCTTCGTCAGTCACGATTTGTCCCTGTTTGCGTATAGGGACATACATTTAAAAAAATGATGCGTGGACCAAGGTGTCTGAGATTGTTGGTGTTCCTGGTGAGTTGCTGATGTGCATTAACGTAGGAATAATAATAATCTAATGATGTATTAAATAATAGTATAATCATTTTAAGACATCTAAGACATTTTGCCAGTGGTGGACCATCGATTTGTTGTAAAACAACAGTACAATCCATGAACACACTGTACTTTGCTTTAATTCCTTTCAAATATGATGCTACTCTGACTAAGGTCTATAGTGTAAAAATGAAAATAGTAATTTATTCGCCCTCATTTACATCCTTCAGCGGAACACAATAGAACAGTTTCGATTCCATTGACACTTATTGTATGGT